CAAACTTCTGAGCCAGCTTCGCAATTAAATGTCGCTGAAATTTCTGCAATGTCTAGAGATATGCCTTTTATGGCTAAATATTTAATCACTAGAATGAAACGTGATACAAGAATAGATATAAAGAAGCATTGGAAGGTAATATTTTAAATGGTAAAATATTATGAAAATCATTATCGCTAAAAATGAATTATAACATATACATATACATCTATAAAAACTTATGAATTTATTAAAAATATAATATTTAGTTTTTTATGATAATTAATATAATATAATAATAATATTCGTATTAGTAAATTATTATTTGCATGATTATGATGTTATTATTATTAATAAAATTATTAATATTATTAGTTTTATTATTTATGAATACAGATATTAATTGGTTATTGAAATTTATTAATGAATGTTAACAAAATTGTATATGCATTTATTAATAAATTATATATATACATTCTTAATTTAGATTATGATTTATGACAAAATATATTATACGAAACATTATACGAAAAACATTTCACTTAAAATAAAAAGTCATTTAAATTCTAATATAATAATTTCAATTTAATGCATTTTTTATTTATTAATTATATGATTAATTGAACTCCATTACATCAATTTAAACTATTTGAATAAATTTTTTAAATAAAATATCTATTTTTATGTAACAAAAATATATATCAATTATTAAAGTATTCATTAATATTTTGCAGTTCCTTTCATTGTTCATAGGAGCCAATGATTTTTGTTCCCAAATGTGTGTACCTTCTTCTCCGTGGTCTATTTTAGAAAAGCACAGAATTGATTTAATCAATACTTTTCGAATATTAAGAGATAATTTACCACGTACTTTGATATCACTTATAATAGTGCCCAATTTAAAAGAATACGTTATTACAAGCAAAAAAAGAAATTTATTGAGGTGCTATATAGTCACTACTATCGCATGCTCGTGCTTATTTGGTTTACAATTCCAAGATCAGAGACAGGAATATTATGAAGTAATGAGCAGGTTTGTAGTTTTAGTTTTAATTAATTAAATATAATTTAATTTAGAAATTGTATTTCTTTTTAATAGTTTTTAATTAAAAAATTTAATTTTTCATAAAAATTTATAACATAATAATATAATAAAATATTATGTTATCTTCATTTTTTCATGGAAATTTTAAAATTATTATATAAAATATATATAAAATTCTCTTTTCAAAATATATAAATTTCTTACATTTCTATTTTGTAGATGGCAAAAATTGCAAGAGGAAGTTGCCAATTATCCAGAATTTAATAGAAAAGACTTTACTATTATTGTTTCACCAGGCATTAGTAATATTAAAATTACACTTCCCGAAGGCGAATCCAGTGATCTACCGTATTTTTCTGCTGATTGTTTTCATATAAGTCAAAAAACACATGCAATCTGTAAGTAAGAATATAGAGCTACATAAAATAATCTTTATTATTAATCGTATAAATATTATATTATTATATTTATTTTTAGTTGCGAATGCTTTATGGAATAATTTATTACAACCAATTGGAAACAAAACTACTACTTTACTTCCAGTATTTAAAACATTTTTATGTCCTACTTTCAAAAGACCATATCTAGTAACACGTGAAAATTCTCAGATATAATAATAAAAATTAAAAATAAAGATAAATTGTGTAAATGTAAATTTTATATTAATATAAATTTATAGTATAATACAAAATATATTATGCCAGAAGAATATTTTATATTCTGCTAAATAAATAAAATTATATAATCTTGAATCATATATTCTATTCATTCTTGAAATTTTTATTCTTGAAATTTTATTTATGAATTAATTATTAATGTAATATATTGTTCGTTCCAATATGAATTAATATTTTTTTTAAGAAACTTTACTATTAAATATTGAAAATCCGGGCAATCGTATGTGATTTCTCTCCCCATTTTTGATCTTTCTCACCATATTTTTATGAAATATGAAAAGAAAATGAGATAGAGATAGAAGTTTATATTATTATATATTTATATTCGCAATCACGCAAGACAAATTACGGTAGAGAATATGAAATGATTAATAGTGGAATCAATATATTGTTAGTAGAGAAAGACAGAGGACAACAAAAGAAAAAAAAATTGTTTTATTTAGATTTGAAAAATAAAGAAAATTTTGTATAATTATATCAAATACCGTGATTGCACGTTGAATTTTTATACTTTTTCAACTATTCAAATTCAAAAATTTTATCTAGCATTCATAATTATGCATAATAATAGCAAAATGCAACATATTATGAAAAATAAAATAAAAATAGTTTTTTAAATCGTCTTCTTTTAATAAGCAATTCTTCTATTGATATTTTTAATTTTGATATTTCTATTTTTAATATTTTAAATTATGTTCTCTCTCATTGATATTTGTTAAAAATGTTCTAAAAAAAATATTATAGACAAATGTCAAAAAATTTTTGTTTAAATTAAAAGTTAAAAATAACGAATATGTTCAATAAGAATAAATTCAGCTATATTGAAGATATAATCATTTTTTATTTTATGTTAGTAATCATAATTAACTTACTATTGATTTTTATATTGTATGCAATATTTTCCTCAGTATTTATTATATATTTATGAACTGCTTTTTAAATATCTCCGTTCAATTTCTATACATACTTCATAACAAAAATATAAATGATAAACTATTTAACAAAATCAAATCCATCTTATTTATCAAATAATTTCAAATGTATTATTATACAGTTTTCTTTTCTTTATACATATTAATTAACCAATGGTTTCATATTTGTTCATCAATTGTTATTAATTTATTTTTTTTAATATCAATATTATCTATTGATGCAAGCATTTCTCAAGTTATAGTGATGATAAGAAATATAAAGAATTCATATAAAAAATCGGAATATCCGAAGAAAGGAAAAAATCATATACAATCATTATTTTAATTTAATAGGAATAATAAGGAATAAAATATGTATAGTAATGCGATATATTAAAATTGAATATGCAATTAAATAATGGAAAATTATGTTATATGCTATTATTTATATATAATTTTATCATATAATATTATTACATAATATAATATATTACATAAGGTATGTATCTTATATAGGATTCCAAAAATATAGGAATACCGGTTAATTGGAAATTTTTGAGCTAATTTCAAGATATATTTTTTTTTACAAAAAGTTTCGTTATGTTTTTGTTAATAAATTATTAATAAAAAGTATTAGTTAATCATATAGATTAGTCAATACAGTAGTATTAGCTATGTATCGTATTGGCCGATATCAACTAATTCAATAAATGTAATGCAACATTTCTGATAGTGCTAGCATAAAGAATATTTACAGTAGAGCAACAGCACAAGTCCATAGATACTTTGCAAGAAATAACCTAAATAATAATTCAAGAAGAAAATCTTTCTCTTCTACAATGGTGTATGAATAGGATATATACTTATGCAACTTCATCTCGAAACAGACGGTATTCCGCGTGTAGCCATTGTAAAAATCATCAACGGTTAATGGCGAATGCATTCTGTCTACACACGAAGATAGCAGATTATCATCGGATCCAAACAACAACCAAGGAGAAGCAAATCAATCTACTTCAGTTCATCTGAAGGAAAGCGCAGATGTTATAGAGAATTTTATGGAATTGGGGTTCAATGTCAATGTGTCAATGAGATATATTACAAGTTGAAGTCGCCAATGATTTTAAGACACGTTAAGGACAAAGCCACGACATGTGAAGCGGTCAGATAGTTTGAATTTTATTTTCAATAATCTAGCAATAATTTACGAGCAAGTTCAATTCCTTAACGTTTTCCAGATCTTCAATCTAACGAAGATATAATAGCAACTTCCTATATAGGCCACTTCACATTTGCGCGCCTAATATAAGATTCATTTTTCGAAAC